CTGCGTCAGTTACGAAATTGCCAATCACAATGTTTTATATGACACAATTTCGGAAGTCACTTCGTCAATTCCGAATGTGCTGTGCACTGTGTGAGTGACCCAATAATTGGTTGAGTGGTCTAATGTTTGCTAAAGGCGTTTATTCTACTCAAAAATTCCTCCTGCGGTTGGTTGAATACCTAGGAAATTTCATATAAAACTAACAGTTGAAGGGGTATCTTTGGGACTGCAATCAATATTTTTAGCCAATCAAATTTCATCCTTCATTATTTGTAGCCAATCATACGCCTTTGCTCGATTAGTTAGTGATTTCATCAATCCCCCAAAATTCAGCTAATCAATACGTTTTCTGAAACCCCCCCGTTGCAGATTGAACTCACTGTACTATAGTGAATACAAAATATATTGCCAAGTTCATTCAAAAACAGTTTCACTTTTGAACTGAACAGTCCAAATTTGCGTGAGAAGGACAATATAGCCGAAGGCAATCAATCGTTGCTTTAGGTTAAAGCCATTTCCGACTATATCACAATTGAACGAATGTACAGTGTGATGTTCAACGCAACCTTTTCTGGCACGAGGGCCTGCAGTACAATCCACTGTTGTGCGTTTGCCCAATTCGAAGAAATACTTTTTCTATGGGCCGCTAATTTTTTACTTACGGAAATATTCAGTCCTTGTACTAGGAGGCTTCCCTCCTTAAATAGTAGGGGGAAAAGGGGAAATAATATTCCCTACCCTTATGGGTTTCCGATGCCTGCTTCCATGTAGAGAATTTCACTAGAAATCCGATTTTAATGCTTATAGAGTACTAATTAGAGTATCTTAGAAGTTATGGTGAAAATCAATCACGACGATGCTCTATTTTCACTGTGCTTCCGTATAATTTCTATAGACCCATATCTGATTTCTCCTGAACTTATCTTATTATAGATAAAATGGCCGCTGCGACAAATTTATCCGACAACTATCTGATTGGTTAAAAATAGACGCCTATTGGCTTTTGTCTCTTCCAAGTCAATACAACGACCAAGTAAAGTATCTTGGTTTTTTCGAATGTATCGACGTACAGAGCCCTGTTTGTTGGCGGGGGCTAAAGGTACACTTTACACGTACTATTATACTTCGAAGTAGTACGTTCAATGTTACGTGGAGGACCT